ATTTTGCGTGTCTGTCTCCTTACCTATCACCTAACCTATCTACTTAATCTGTCTCTGCTGTTCTGTACACGCGAGGCATCCAGTACCCAAGGCGTATGAACATTATCAGAGAGTTACCTGAACCAATTCTCGCCCTGGAGGGAGGAGGAAAACACACACACACACACACACACACACACACACACACACACACACACACACACACACACACACACACACACACACACACACACACACACACACACCAAAAACATAAATAGTGTACGAGGCCTCACTCACGCCCTGGGTCAGCCACATAACTACATCATCACCACAATTAAAGTACTAGGTGTGGGAACTATGGGGTACTAGGTGTGGGAACTATGGGGTACTAGGTGTAGGAATTATGAGGGACTAGGTGTGGGAACTATGGGGTACTAGGTGTGGGAACTATGGGGTACTACGTGTGGGAACCAAGCGGCCAATGTGGGAAGTATGAGGCGTGGGAATTTGGGAGGTAGTGTGGGAATTTCGAAGTCTGTCTGTGATCTATAATTCAAGAAAATTCCTAATCCAATTTTATTTTTTGGTGAAACTTTTGGGAATAAAATTAAAAAAGAAAAAGAAAAAAAAATGAGGGATTATATTCGTATAAAACCATTTTTTTTAGAAGAACATGGGGGGAGTCTTTAATTGGACATAAGGTGTAGAGGTCATTAGTAACTTAACGAGAACCACAAGGGCTTAAGACACACCTGGAATGGAGAATAAATGCTGACGTCACATTCACTTTAGAAAGAAGAGAAGAAAAAAAAAATTCCAGTGAACATTTCTAAAAAGTTTCCGCAAAATGAAATCAGTAACTTTGGTGATTTTTAAAAGTATAAGAAGCTGACAGACAGACAGACAGACAGACAGACAGACAGACAGACAGACAGACGACAACACAGCCGCAGGTCGTTCATTCACAACAATATTATAAAACTCTATAAAACTGATCACCAAAATGCTTACGCGAATTACCAATTAATTTGATTACGTGAAAATAATATCCTGACACAATTATTATTTTTACCTATTAATATATTCCTAACACCAATTAATCACCCCAGACGTGTTAATTACCAGTTCCCCCCCCTCCCCGCCCCCCCACCCTTATTACCTGGTGTCAGTAGCGGTAACAGATGTCATGTGAGGTCATAACTGTTACCTCACGTCTAACAACCTCTCTCAACCGCTTGGACATGTTGACAACTAGACCCCGAGTGACTAGAGGCGGGGTTGGTGTCTTAAAGCAGAGTTAAACTACCAGCACCTTGACACACATCACTCATCCTGGTATTCCTTCATCTCCCCCTCTCCCTTCCTCATCTCCCTCTCCCCCTTCCTCCTCCTCTTGATCTCCCCCTCTACCTTCCTCATCTCCCTCTTCCTGCTCCTCCTCCTCCCTCCTCATTCCTCTCTTTCTCTCTTCCTGCTCCTCCTCCTCCTATCCTCTTCTTCCTGCTCCTCCTCCTCCTCATCTCCCTCTCTTCTTCCTGCTCCTCCTCCTCCTCATCTCCCTCTCTTCTTCCTGCTCCTCCTCCTCCCCTCTGTGCTGCCCAATATTCAATACACGGCAGAAACAGTGGCCACCCAAATACTCACACAAATGGACCATGCACCACCATTTGTCCACCTCACACACCTGTTTGCAATATATAAATAAACAAACAAGAAAGGTAGAATTCTCGTTTGTGTTCAGTGGTGCATCTGAATGTGTGTGTGTGTGTGTGTGTGTGTGTGTGTGTGTGTGTGTGTATTCGGGTCACCTAAAGATTAAACACCTCCACTTATTTCACCTGATAATGATAGTGATGATAAGAATGATGATGATGATGATAGTAACGTTGATTATAATGATGATAATGATGATGATAATAATAATAATATAATGATGATACACTACCTCACACACTGTTTTTAAGAGAGGTGTGGTGATAACTTGACCTGCCCTGCTGACGAGTGAACCAGGGAGGAGGGTCAAGAGTTGTGCCATCATCAGTGCCACTCCTCCTCCTCCTCTGACCTTGAAGGACACTAAGGGTGGGGTAAGCAGGGGGGGTAGGGAAGAGGGGAAGGAAAGGGGGTAGAGAAGGGAGTAGGGAGGTGGGGGTAGGGAAGAGGGGTAGGGAAGGGGGGTAGGGTAGGGGGTAAGAGCCAGGATGATGAAGGAAGGATGATTATATTATGAAAAACAAAGTGGAGACATTTTTTTTTATCATGATACAGTTTTTGTTTTTGTCTCCGAGTATTTACAAATCACTTATCTATTATCTCAGCTTATCAAAAAGAAGGATTCTCTCTCACCTATTGAAAAAAAAAGCTAAACAAAAAAAAAGAAGCCATTGACAGCCTAACAAAAGTAATAAAAGATACTCCATCACTTCCAGTTCTGGGGTTTTTAGATCCATAAAGAGATAACTGGAGCGGATGATGCGATATTCCTAAGTTACCCCCTGATAATTTTCGACGTTTTCTTCTTTATGGTCCGACGGTATATTTATGGTGTTCCGTGATGAGCGCCGACTTGCCTGCTGCCTCTTGGGCCTGCTGGGAGAAGTAGGAGGTTGAAGGGGGGGGGAGGGGGGACGAAGAGAGGGAAGGAGAGTGTGGAGGTGGGAAGAAGAAGAAGAAGAAGAAACCATTTCACACACGAGCCTTTGAGACTCTCGCTGCTTCACCAACCCATCATGAGGCTACGATCGTCTCCAGTGAGTCTATGATGGAATCGCGTCTCTCACCTAAAAGAAATTTGGTGATGTTCTGGCCCAGCGGTGATGACGTGTTACATGGTGAAGTTGATGACGTGTTACCTGGTGAAGTTGGTGACGTATTACCTGGCGAAGCTGTTGACGTATTACCTGGCGAAGCTGGTGACGTATTACCTGGTGAAGCTGGTGACGTGTTACCTGGTGAAGCTGGTGACGTATTACCTGGTGAAGCTGGTGACGTATTACCTGGGCAGCAAGTGTACAGGTGACCCAGAAAACAACCATCAGTGTTACATTTATTCACCATCAATTGGGTTACTGTTTGACTGTCTCTGTGTGATAGCCACGGTAAGACCCTCGAGTGGGCCCTCACCAAGCCTTGATGGGAGGCACCGTGAGGAAGTAATCTTGTAGAAAAACGTTGTACCTTCTCTCCAACATTGGTCATCTTGCAGTAAACGTTTCGTCCATTCTCGCCACAATGAAATCTTTCGTCTTCGGCTGTTTACATCGTTTCGTCCTTTCGTTGGAGACACTGGTGAATCTTGTATGGAATATTTTGTGTATGATTCCTATATGTAATGGTTCTCTCAGGGCTTCTATACAATGGTAAATCACAAACGATACCTGACACTCACCTGCCATTTGTGTTTTCATATTCCCCGTCCCTCCTCACTCTCACACTCCCTCACCCACATCCCCACACCCTCACCCACATCCTCCCCACACTCTCAAACACATCCTCCCACACTCCCTCACCTACATCCCCCCCACACCCTCACCCACATCCTCCCACACCCCCTCTCCCACATCCCCCCACACGCCTCCCTCACCCACATCCTCCCACACTCCCTCACCCACATCCCACACTCCTCACCCACATCCCCCCACTCCCACACCCACATCCCCCCACACCCCTCACCCACATCCCTCCCACACCTCACCCCCCTCTCCCACAGGTCAGTATAACAAGCAATATTTTCCATCCGATAAGAGAAGTCCTGTTAATCCCCCCTCACATCTCCCCCTCCCCTCACATCTCCCTCCACATCTCTCCCTCACATATCCCCCTCACATCCCTCCCCTCACATCTCCCTCACATCTCCTCCCTCACATCTCCCTCCCCTCACATCTCCCTCCCCCACCACACATCTCCTCCCCCTCACATCTCCCCCTCCCCACACCTCCTCTCTCCCTCACATTCTCCCTCCTCCCCCCACCCCACCTCCTACCTTCCGACACAATCCTGTAACACAAGTAATTGACCAATCACGTGAAGTATGTAGTTTAAATATTGATTATATTATCAGAAGAGAGAGAGAGAGAGAGAGAGAGAGAGAGAGAGAGAGAGAGAGAGAGAGAGAGAGAGAGAGCAACGCGTAATTTCCTGCTTGACAATAAGAAACGTAACCAGTGATCCGGGCCAGAGCTGATGGGAGGAGGAGGTAGTCGCTGATGAGAAAGGACACATTTTCACCACTTCATCATCATAAAAAAGGACATATAGTGCTGTCTGGCTGGCTGGCTGGCTGTCTGTCTGTCTGTCTGTCTGTCTGTCTGTCAGGCCGTCCGTCCGTCCGTCTATCTATCTATCTATCTATCTATCTATCAATGACTGTAGTATACGTCCCAATACAAAGTTTTTCCAGCGGTGTGCAATATATATGTAACATTAGGGAGGCCGCCTCTACCGTGTGTCTGCAGTATTAAACAACATCATCTGCAACCCTGCAACAATCAACCGTGTGTGTGTGTGTGTGTGTGTGTGTGTGTGTGTGTGTGTGTGTGTGATTACTCCTATACATGACTCAGTTTCCCCTAATACCCTTCTCACCTGTAAATTAAAACACCTGTCGGCACCTGCAACACCTGTATATAAAACACCTGATTTATACCACTACACACACACACACACACACAAACCAATCACAGTTAAGTATACTGTATATGTATCTGTTGTTTATACTCGAAATAGAGGAAATATACATACACACATACATACATACATACAGTACATACATACATACATACAGACATACATACATACATACATACATACATACATACATACATACATACATACAGTAAGTACATACATGCATACATACATACAGTAAGTACATACATACATACATACATACATACAGACAACCAAACACATATGAGCTCTTTCCCAGCCATTACCTGCCTTCCCTACCTGCCCATCTCCCCTCTCTTCCTACCTGTACATTTTTATATAGGAAAAATATATCGGAAATATAAGCTTACCTTACCTGGATGCCTCGGGCTGCAGTCCTGTGAGAGAGAGAGGGAGAGTTAATGTACCGAAGTGAGAGGTGAGGGGTGAGATAAGAGGGAAGGATGAGAGAGAAGGGTGAGGGTGAGAGGTGAAGGATGAGGGTTGAGGTGGAAGGGTGAGGGAGAGGGGTGAGGGGAATGGTGAGGGAGGGGTGAGGGGATTAGAGAGGTGGGGTGAGAGGGAAGAATGAGAGGGAGGGGTGAGGGGTTGAGGTGAAGCAATGAGAGGGGAGGGGTGAGGGAGGGGTGAGAGGGAAGAATGAGAGGGAGGGAACTGAGGGGTGAGAGGAGGCGAGATGGAAGGGTGAAGGAGAGGATGAGGGTGAGGGAGGGGTGGAGGAAGAATGAGAGGGAGGGTGAGGTGAGTGTGAGGGTTGAGGTGGAAGGGTGAGGGTGAGGGAAAGGGGTGAGGGAGGGGTGGGAGGGAAGAATGAGAGGGAGGTGTGAGGGTGAGACACAAATTCTAAGATTTAAAAATAACTCATAATGATAAAAAAAACACTGATAAAAAAAAAATAAAACTGACCTGAAAAATAAAACCAAACTACAAAATACCTACAAGAAGATATTAAAAAAAAACTACAAAAAACATCCATAACACAACTAATCTATAACACAAACTGTAAAAACAAACATCAACACCTACTATACACACCTGAATACAACCTGTAACTAACACCATACAGTCTACAGGTACGATCCCAACGACAAGATATGTTAATTATCATCTACATAATCTAGAACAGAGCCAGCAACCCCCAGCGTGTATGATACAGGTTAGGTTATGGGACGCAGGTTAGGTTAGGTTATGGGACGCAGGTTAGGTTAGGTTATGGGACGCAGGTTAGGCTGGGTTAGGTTATGGGACGGGTAAGTTAGGGGCTAAGCTAGGCGCAGGGACGCAGGTTAGCTGGGCGTTAGTTAGTTATGGGACGCAGAAGGAAGGGCTAGATTAGGTTATGGGACGCAGGTTAGGGCTGGGGTTAGTTAGGTTAGGTTATGGGACGCAGGTTAGGCTGGGTTAGGTTAGGTTTTGGGACGCAGGTTAGGCTGGGTTAGGTTTGGTTATGGGACGCAGGTTAGGCTGGGTTAGGTTAGGTTATGGGACGCAGGTTAATGAGGAGAGGAGAGGGAACGGACCCTAGTGTGTATGAGGAGTGGACGATGGACTCAATAAACTACGTGTCCCCTCTCTATACCGGACACCTGTATTGTCGGGGAGGCGATACTAACACTCTTATTCTGGGGTGAGGGGAGAGGGGCGGTGAGGGGAGAGGGGCGGTGTGAGGGGGGGCGGTGTGGAGGGGGGGGTGGTGTGTGAGGGGGGCAGAGGGGGGCGGTGTGAGGGGGGCGGGGGTGGAGGGGGGGCGGTGAGGGGAGGCGGTGAGGGGGGGGTGGTGTGGTGGGAGTGGCGGTGAGGGGGGGCGGTGAGGGGGGGGCGGTGAGGGGGGCAGGAGGGGGGGGGGGCGGGGGTGGAGGGGGGGTGGTGGAGGGGGGGCAGAGGGGGGGAGGTAGCCAGAGGTCACACAAATCGGTTAAATTAATTCTTCATCAAGTTACAATCTGTAAATCAGAAGATATTAGTTCATATAATTAGGTTACGATTAGTTCAATGAAATAATACCATGTAGCGTTAATGTTATTTATTTACCACGACCCAGATGTAGCGTTAATGTTGTTTTTATTCACCACGACCCAGGATGTAGCGTTAATGTTGACTTATTTACCACGACCCAGGATGTAGCGTTAATGTTGTTTTATTTACCACGACCCAGGATGTAGTGTTAATGTTGTCTTATTTACCACGACCCAGTATATAGCCGTCCCAAAGCGGAGTCCTGGCAACAGCAAGATCAAGAAGGACTTAACTCTCCTCTTGTTACCTCTTGTTGCAGACTTAACGACGTGCAAGGTAATGTCTGCTGGGCATTGTCACTGAGAGAATTTTTAGGCCCAGTTATAGCACATCTGGGCCAAGAATAATCAGGTCAACTTGTCTTTAAAACCTTATACGTCTTTTGTACGCCACCAGCTCGCTCGGAGGGAGGGAGGGAGGGAGGGAGGGAGACCCCATAACCCTCCCTTCAAAATGGCCCCCATCAACGCCCCTCAACACGCGTTACGGTAAAGAATGGTCCACTAGGCCTCCAATATTATGACAATCGCCTCTGATGACCTCCCTCGACCTCCTGATGGCTTCTTATACCCCTCGATAAACTCTGCTTCATGACCCCGCCAAGTCTCGATAATTGAAATTCTGGACCCTAGGGCTGCCCCGTCACCACGCCCCAGAGATATAAGAGCCTAACGTAACACCCACACACCACCTCTCTCTCTCTCTCTCTCTCTCTCTCTCTCTCAATCAAGAGTGTTGTTGGAAGGTGATGGACGGAGTGATTAAGGTATGAAAGTGTAAACATATGGCACTATGGGGAGCCAGGTGGTGGTGGGGAGCCAGGTGGTGCTGTGGGGAGCCAGATGGTGCTGTGAGAGAGCCAGATGGTGCTGTGGGGAGCCAGGTGATGCTGTGGGGAGCCAGATGGTGCTGTGAGCCAGATGGTGCTGTGGGGAGCCAGATGGTGCTGTGAAGAGCCAGGTGGTGCTGTGGGGAGCCAGGTGGTGCTGTGGGGAGCCAGGTGATGCTGTGGGGAGCCAGGTGGTGCTGTGAGAGCCAGATGGTGCTGTGGGGGAGCCAGGTGGTGCTGTGAGGCCAGATGAGCCAGGTGTGGTGCTGTGGTGGAGCCAGGTGGTGCTGTGGGGAGCCAGGTGGTGCTGTGAGAGCCAGGTGGTGTGCCAGGTGGTGCTGTGAGAGAGCCAGGTGGTACTGTGAGTTAGATATTAATGTATATGTGTATGGAAGGGTGAGGGAGGGTGGGTTAGGGAGGTCAGGTCCAGGGAGGGAGAGCTTCAGGTGGGTGAGGTGTGGGTTACTTCCAGGTGATCGGTCTTATTATGAACACACCTGCGCCAAACTTTGATTCCGAAAATCAGACGAAAGTTTGTAATAGAATCCGCGGCGCTTACCTCGATAAAGACCCCGGAGGAGGAGGAGGAGGAGGAGGAGGAGGAGGAGGAGGAGGGGGTCTTGGGGCCTCTGCTATATAGGCGGTGATCAAACTCCCTGGAAAGAGAGTCTAGATTCTATTACTTGAGTGAGATGGTGCTCTCTCTCTCTCTCTCTCTCTCTCTCTCTCTCTCTCTCTCTCTCTCTCTCACTATACCCTCCTCTCTTATACCCTTTCTCTCTGAACTTCCTCCCCCCTCTCTCTCTCTCTCTCTCACTAGTCCTCCTCCTACCCTCTCCCTCTCTTTCCCCTCATAAATACTTTCTTCCTGTCATTTTCTCCACTTTCACTCTCCATCCGTCTAGACTATTGAGTTCCATCATTATCTCCTCCTCCTCCTCCTCCTCCTCCCTGCCTCATCATTCTGGGGACTCTACACGCTTTCTCTAGTAAGAACTTTCCCTCTGCTTTCCTCTTACTCACCGCACTATGTACTTTCATTCTGCTTTCTTCTGAGATTCTGAGTCTACTGGGGTTCGATTCTACTGTAGTCTCTACTGGGGTTCGATTCTACTGGGGTCCGAGTCTACTGGGGTTCGATTCTACTGGGGTTCGATTCTACTGGGGTCCGAGTCTACTGGGGTTCGATTCTACTGGGGTTCGATTCTATTCTGGGGTTCGAGTCTACTGGGGTTCGATTCTACTGTGGTCCGTCTACTGGGGTTCAGGGTCTACTGGGGTTCGATTCTACTGGGGTTCGATTCTACTGGGGTCCGAGTCTACTGGGGTTCGATTCTGGGGTTCACTGGGGTTCGATTCTACTGGGGTCCGAGTCTACTGGGGTTCGATTCTACTGTGGTCCGAATCTACTGGGGTTCGGGTCTACTGGGGTTCGACTACTGGGGTTCGGATCTACTGGGGTTCGGATCTACTGGGGTTCAGGTCTACTGGGGTTCGAAACTCTCTCTCTCTCTCTCTCTCTCTCTCTCTCTCTCTCTCTCAGGTCTACCAGTCTACCTATCTGTGTGTGTGTGTGTGTGTGTGTGTGGTGTGTGCGTGTGTGTGTGTGTCCGCCAAGGAGTAGGTTAACAAGAACAGTAACTCAACACAACTCGGTAAATTGGACTCAACGCGGAGGTAATGTGTGGCTGTCTGTCTCCTGCCTAACAAGATATTTTGGGTACCTCTGTTCGATCCAATCTCGACCTCCCCCTGCTGGTCTCCTAGTTGGTCTCCTCCTCCTGCTGGTCTCCTAGTTGATATCCTCCTCTTCCTCCTTCTGGTTTCCGAGTTGATCTCCTATTCCTGGTCTCCGAGTCGATCTCCTATTCCTCCTCTCCTAGTTGATCTCTTCCCCCTCCTCCTGGTCTCCTAGTTGATCTCCTCCTATTCCTCTTGTAAATCCTCCTACACATCCTCTTCCTGGTCTGCCTGGCGGCCCCTCTCTCTCTCACTCGGGGCAAAGGAGAGTTTTATTGTGGTGGAGAGGAGGAGTGGGAGGGCGATGGTGGAGAAAATTGGTCAGAGAGTGAGTAAGGGAGTGGGTGGTGGTGATGGTGGTGGGTGGTGGTGGTGGGTGGTGGTGGTGGTGGTGGCCTCTCACACCACTCCCCTCTCCCGAGTCTGTTCCACACCCATTCCCTCTCTCTCTCTCCCTTTCACCTCTTCCCCTCTCCCTCACACTACTCTTCTCTCCCCTCACTCCACTCCCCCTTTCAATCTCACCACTCTCCTCTCCCTTTCACTCCTCCCCTCTCACACTCTTCTCCTCTCCATACAACCACCACTCCATTCCCCTCTCCTCCCCCCTCTCACTCCCCTCGAACATCCAAAAAAAAACAGGAAGAAGAAAAAAAAGAGGGGAAAAATCCATAAACGAACCTAATTTAATCTAAGTTTTCCAGATTACAATTTACCAGAGTCCCCCGCCCTTGCTGCCCATCAGTCCCGGACCTGTGTGTGTGGGACGCCTCGGTGCTCCTGCTAGTATCCTGCCT